CGTGTGTATCCATGGCATGAAGTGCTCTGAGCTTGCTGGAAGGAAAGTGCTGTGAAAAGACCATGCATCACTTTTATTCAGCTGTTGCAACAATGGAATGAAGCATAGTCTCTAACACAGACTGAGTCAGTAGGTACTTGTTATTCTGTGATCACTCTCCCTGATGAAGGGAAGAGTGCCCAAAATCCCTTCACCCCCTGCATTGCCTTGCATGTACTCACACTGCCCTGACCTGTTTTATCTGTCAAAATCCTCCTGACTTGAAACTTCTTCTTCCTCTTGGACTCTGCTGCTGCTTTGGGGAGTCTGTGATTGTAGTCAAGCTGCTTCCAGCCCATATATTTCTAACACAACATTTCCTGGATATACAGACACTTGGTTATTATGACAACCATCTTTGTCGTTGCCCATTCCCCACATTGGCAGCCTTCTGAGATCTAGTGGGTGGAGAGAAGTACGTGACTTTCTGCTAGGATTCATTGCCGTTAGGTCACACAAGATAAGCAGGACAAACTTGGGCCGATGCAAGTATGGGGAAACCTCTGTGGAAGGCACAGGTGCTGTCACGATCGACTACGAGATCTTCCAAGCATGGTCAAAAGATATGTTGTGCTGTTGCGGGCAGTGGCCTTCAGGTGGGGCTTAATGTTGGTCTTGACCAACTGTGATCACATTAGCAGGAGGAGCAGGGCTTAACCCTGGTCTCATGCCCGAAGTCTAGGTCTACCAACTCGATTACACTTCTTAATTTAAATGGATGATCTCTTCTTCCTGTTCTGAAGCATTGCTAAATGGTAGATGCGTGTTGGCAGTAGATCAGGTAATGCCTGTGTATCGTTTGTATATTATTTTAAGTTTGTAACATGCTTGTGAGATGAAAGGGGCTACGGAAATGTCATATTATCACTGGTGCGCACTGGTTTTTCCCCCCCCCTATTGTTAATGCAGCTCTTGCTAGCATGGATGTAGTTGACTTTCATCATGAACCTTAACTATAACTTGCAGCAAGTCCCCTCCTCCCCTCCCCTTTTTCCTATAGCAGGAGTGGTGATGATCGGTCAGACCTACAATTCATTTCCTGGGGAAGTAAAACTGTTCCCAGTATTAAAGAATTCAGTTTCTAGCCCCGCACACCCAAGTTGGCTAACTGCAGTTTTGTTTCCTGGGAGGAAAGCTTTGACCTTTTCACCCATCTTGAAGACTTTGTCACCTTCATCTTTATCTTGGAAAAGAGCATAGACTGGCAAGATCCCCATATAGCAAAGATGCTTGGCAATCTAAATAGTCTACCTTACTGAAGGCAGATATATCAGCTGCAACACAGATGCTTCACCCCTGCCCCAACCATCTACTGTTCAACTCATGTGAGACGACCCTGGGAAGGAACTGAACCTCTGGAAGCATCAGTCCAGAATTTGAAGTGGATGTTGCTACCACCGAGGAATGAACTGCTATAAACCTCATCAGGACCTTCTGACCCTTTCCAGTTCATCCCTGCCAATGGTCGCAAGCTTTCTGAATCCTCATGAGAGGTCATTATAGCTTCTGTCTTGCAGAATGAGAAAGTTGAGTCACAGAAAGGCCAAATGCCATTCAAATGAAACCTTTGACTGTCTCAAGTGAGGCCTCTCTGATGCACGTTCTCCAGTAGCTTTCTGACAACTCTGGCTCCATGTCTCTCTCCAGACCTCCAAAGCTGCACAAGGTTAGCTTGGGTTTTGAAATATGCCATTTACTCTAGCAGGTGTTGCTGGGTCGAGGGGCTGGGAAATCCAGGAAGTTGAAGCCCTTACTGGTGGTGTCTTGAGAGAACCGATTTTAAGCCATGAGCGTGTTGTGATGCTGAAGCAGCTGGCAGCGTGGTGGCGAGCACTAGCTTGTCACGCCAAGGGCATCAGCAGGCACTGCCCTACGCCCAGCCCTGCCAGGACATCTCAGTCCTGTCCTACAGTTTCTCGCCTGTGTCTGGAGCAGACTGCTGGCTGTTCAGGCTTTATGGTGTGGATGGGGATATTTAGAAAACTCTTTGTACCACTGAGCCCCCGGCAAATGCTGTTTTCGGACTTGGTTCTTCTTCCTGGCTAAGAGGCCTCTGTTTGCCATGACAGATGTAACAAAAGCCATGCCCTGCTTTCCTTCTTCCCAGACATATGTTTTGTATTGCATGGTTTCCCCTCTGGTGTTGGATAAGCCCCCAGCCAAAAAAAACCTTTTAAGATTTTCACTGGCCAGAAAAACTTGGCCCGTTTCTCTCTTCACTCCCCCCGTGTTTTGGGTTTTTTTCTTTGTTTTGGAAGCCATCTTAACTGTCGTGCATTAAAACAGCCTCACACATAAACTGCAAACCCTTGCAGGGGAGCATGGGGCTCCTCCCGCGAGGCTTGCCAAGTCTGACCAAACTGGTGATGTGAAGCACCCGTGAGTGGCTCGCGTTATGCAAGTGTTTCTAGTTGCCTCTTTGCGCAACAGGCGTGCTGAACGATAGATTGCCCCGTCCAAGTGAACAGGATCGAGAGAGACACGAAAGTACGTGAGCTTTTCCATTCCTCTCTGTGAATCTTCAGGGGCGGGCAGCCGGCCCGAGTGGAGGGATTAATTGGCTTTCTGCCTTTCTCCTTGTTTGTAAACAGCTGAAAGCCTCATCTGGAAAAAGGCACTTTGTCAGCTGCACTAAGGCTTGCGAAACCTTCCAAACAGCTTTTGCATTAATTGGCTTCAGATGGAGTGGTAAAGGGGCTTTTTTGATCACATCTCTTTGCAGCAATAGTTAGTAGTTCAGCGAGAGGAAGCCTCTGGTATCGAGAAGCCAGGCTGGCTCTGAGTTATGCTCCTGTGTTTCTTTTGGGGTCTTCTCCTTCCTCAAGCAACATATTCAAGCCCCACGGTCTTGCCCTTAAATAAGACAGAGGCCCAGAGCCATGCATATAAGCTCTGCTAATGCTGGGTTCCTCGCATTGTTTTGGACATGGGACCCAAACGTGCTCCTGATCCTGTTGCTGATTTTTAAATGCTTTCTCTCTTTAGAAGCCGCATGAAAGCTTTTCATGTATTTCCATTGGTCACAGATGCTTCAGCGAACTTGCACAGTAAGCTGGATCTCCTGAATGGGGTTTGTTTTCTGAGCTGTCTGTTTCTGAGCCTGGGAGATGAAACTCGGCACCAGCTGGGACTTCTGATTTAAAATGCCCAGGCTGATGCTTGCTCTAGTTTGACGTGCAGCTACCAACCTCTGGAGGTCCGACATATGTTAATCAAGCAGGGGCATGGAACCAAATCTACCCTCCGGAGCCAAGGGGTAGTTATTTGGA